AATTTATATGGCCAAACAACGTTTGCTTGGGCAGCTATTATATATGTATATATATTATAGTATTATCTATGTCCACTCAGAAAGTCTGTTCTAAATATTGGAAAAATTATTATTATCTAATATTGAGTGAATACTTTTAAAAATTTTTGGAACTCAAAAACTAGATACATATTAAAATTGACTTTAAATTCAGTTTTCAGTTGAATTTTTCTATTTATGCAGACTTGTTTATATTTATATGTAATATTTTATTATTACGTAATGCGTATTCATTTAATTTCTGTATCTATATCCTTGTGATAATAGATAGATGATAGATATCAATAGCCTGCCTACCCACCTGCCAAAATAGAAAAGATTTATAGGTTTTTTTTCTCATTTCAATCTTGACTAATGAGTTAATTCCTCAAAGGCTACAGGTGAGAAAGCAATCAGAAAAGGTAATTTTTCACAAAATTTTATATTCTATACTCTCTCTATATGTACTTACTAAATAAACTTTATTGAATTATAATTTATATCTGGTAACTATATGATAAAGTTTACTATATATTAAATAAAGACTTATCTATCTCATTACCGGTAGACATCTGTTGATTTGATAATCAATAGATTAATTAAATAACTATTGCCTAATGGTGATCTGTAGGTATACGATATTCAAAAACTTTTTTAATGTAATAAGTAATAGTAGTAGTATAGTAATAAGGATCTACCTTATGTTTTTATTGGATACTGTGGTGTCTATACAAGTCATATATAAAAACTAAACTGTACAGTAACGTTTATTTAATTATAATTTGGCCACTTTTATCGCAATCTAGCAACTCGTCGGTACGAGCCGTCTGACTCTTATCGTAAATGTGTGGCCTTCATACTTAGAATGAGTTGACATGACATAACCTTCAAAATGTCTACTATTGCAAAGTACACAATTATAAATTAATCAGTTTTTGAATTTATCAATAATAATTTTATAATACGAAAGATAAGAATGTATAAGCAATCTTGGATAAAAATAAACCGTTATCATTCTAAATTTAAAATGTGTAATATAACATATTAATGTTTCCTCGTAATAATAATAATAACAAAAAATCAAAGGAAAGTTCCTAAATTACAACTATCTCATTTATCAGAGACCAAAACGAGGCATCCAATAGTTCCCTTTGAAAGTATAACACACGAGTACGCACCTAATCATTTGGGCCGATGCGGGTGTAATTCAGTAGGTATCGCAGGGTACCATTATTGTGTGACCTCTCACATAGCTATCAAAGGATGTTGTGAAAGAAAATAATAAAGAAGGCAGGGGTTCAACCATGAATAGTCATGTTGCGTCTTTGTTTCACAGGCCATAAGTATGTAACAACCACTTTTTATTGCAAGCCCATAAAGTAAAACAAACATCTGGCCCACAAATTACTAAAACTCGTAAATAGCAATGCAAATAAAATTTATATTAACATCGTACTACCTTATTTCAACCATTAGATTCATTATTACAAATTATGATAGAATATACTTATTTAATAAAGTCAGACTGTGAATGAATTACCTAATAATAAAAATATGGTATGTGTTTTCAACAACAGTAGTTACTCAGTAAAGAATTTTATAATTGACTTATATTTTTATTGTGACTAAGGAAGTACTAAACTTAATACTCTTATTGTAAAAAATAAACAGTAGAGCTCATAATATCTACCTGAGTACAGAATATATGTAAAAATACTGCAAAGAAGCATAATTATTAGTCTATTGACATTAATCGAGTAGCGTTGTTTATGAGATTACATCACTGAAAAATTTAGAATTAATGTATAATGTATTGTTTTCTTTAATGACTATGGTATGGCTTTGTACTATGGCACCTGTATGATACTTGTACGGCATGAGATTGACATGACAGGATCTGTTGTACACTTTCTGTTCCTAAAATGATGAAATCAAAAATAATGTTATACCTATTGTATTATGTAGAAGAATTACACAACAAGTGAAACTGTGCCGACAAGTAGGTAACAAACTTCAAAACTCAAATTTTGCAAATCGCTCCAACGAATACGCACGGCTTGAAACTCCGTGAAAAGTTTATATGAATTGCGTTTTAATGCCCTCTTAGTACAAAATTGATCGCAAACGTTTGAGTTTATTTTAGGTACAAGAAAATGTACATTACCTTTAGAAATCACTTGCATAAAAAGTTTTATCACATTATATTCAAATCAAAATATCTTTATTCATGTAGGCCTATTATAGACTCTTATGATATGTCAACTCGAAGTGCTTTCTTTTATTAATTCTCTCTGCTTCTTCTACTTATGAAAGTGGAAAAAGATAAAAGATATTATACGTTCAGGAGAGATAAACTATGTAGTTTATCTCTCCTGAACGTATAAAATCTTTTTAAATAATAGCAGACTCCTAGATCTCTACCTACCTGCGCTTTCAGTTTTATTGATTGTTAGTATATTACCAAAATTAAACTATAGATATTGTAGCGCGGTGTAGCTACATAATTTATTGTTTATTTAGCTACACCGCGCTACATTATCTATAGTTTAGTAGTGTAGTACAAACTCACTCACTTACTCTATAAAGGAGTCTGTATACAGGTAAAATAATTGTACTGTTTATTGTACATGAGTAAGTTCATTTGGTAGTGTGGTTCATGGCTTATTAATAGGTAACGCGTACTTTGGACGTGTAGTCGTAACGTGGACTAACTATTAACTGAATTTAAACCTATATTCTCTATATATATAAACGAATGGAATGGTCTTGAGTGTTGACAGAAATATTACGAGTGTAGGCATATCGCCAATAGTCCATTTTTTATGTTATTGAAATGGCAAGGAAGCTGACACGAACAGCACTACGTATATCACGATTTGTCATGTGACGCAAGCGATACATACATGTGTTGTTATTGCGGAGGTCTAATATATTGTACCTCTAAATTTGATAGCCTTATCTCGTCCTTCAACAGAAACATAGCTTACAAAGCAAGCTGATTGACCGCTGTATGTAGGGTTACCTACGCACAAACTTTCTACACATTGTAACTCAGTGAACATGCGCATGAAAAAAAGTATAGAAACATGCATTAATTAATATTAATAAAATAAAGAATGTAAAAATTTTATTATTAAGTTCCATTTCTCACGTACAAATGAATAAACTAACGACTCATGATAGAGTTGATGGAATAAGTGATTAACTCATTCCAACAACTGATTAAAACAAACTTTGCGAAGCTGAAAATACGAAAATGATTGAAAATGAAGATTTCAAAACGGAATGTTATAATGAAGTGCAGGTGAAGTTACAATTAATTTTATGAACTCCAATACCTAACTCGTTAGTGATATTCTTGATGCATAATAATATTATTATCCTTCACTGTCAATATAATAATGTATTGTATACCATACTTATTTGTATACCTTTTCTTTTTTGCATAACTCAATATAGATTTTTTTTTAAATTACAATTCTGTGCTTTAAATTAAAAAATAAAAATAAAATTTCACAACCATTATCTTGAGCTATAGTGCGACGCTCGATTAATTACTAAATCGGTGTTTAATTTAAAACAGCAATGAACATTTTTTATGATAGGGGAGACAATACATAGGTAGCGCACGTAGAGCTATTAACACAGATATATATTATCTGTGTATATAGTATCTCTACGTGCTCGTATATTCCCATCAGTATACATACACTGATTTTCCAATTAATAAATATTTTATACTCGTTGATGCGTAAAATGCAGAATTGCTTTGCTCACCATATGACCCCTCGTTCGCGTAAAAAATGTATAATTTATATTTTTACAGCAGCGCACCATATTAGCATATTGCGGATACCGGCACATAGAAATTAAATCTGAATGTAAATCCCGGTAATAACGTTTAACGACGTAACGACGGCATGTGCCTAGGCCATTTTCATTTGGCCTCTTTTATGTTTCACTTTAACGCCATTATTCAAAGCAATACAACATTTGAGAACGTCTTATTAAATTGAATAATAATACTATAGCTTTGCACTTAGCTTGAAATAAAGAATTCTTAAGACTTAATGTATTGTTTTTAAATGTGCAAAAATATCAATACCACCTACACAATACTGACCCCTCTATCATGTAATATGTAGTATTTTTATTGCTGAAGTATTTATTATAATTCGGTATATACCTATTCGTCATTAGATATGCAACCAATACTTGTGTTTAATTTCCTAATTACATCTTCCATTTAGGTGTATTATTCCACTGATCAGTTACAAGGAACCAAAAAAAATTTATCTGGTTATTTATTTTAGTACTACACTTAGAAACAGTATAGATAGATGGACAATATTGTGCCGTAGGGGGTTATTACTTCAACTTGCAACGAAATGTCGTGAGTTCAAATCTGGCCTAGATTTATACTTTGACTTATTCTTTACTGGTGGAAACATCAATATGTTAATGAAAATATCAAACAAAAACGGTAAAATTAGCGGTAGACCTGTATTATGTGACGTTAAATTCAATATATCCAGCCAAATGTAGGCGAATTTCATTATTATAAAAAAAAGCAAGTCATGTTGTAACATGTTACAATGCACTAAATAATTTTCACTGCACTTGTTAAGTTAGGTAGCTGTTTTTCTATATGGTATTCCCCTTAAAAGCTTTCACCGACAGCAGTGCCGGAACGGAGCTCGCAAGCTCGCTAAAACCCTTTACGAGATGACTTGTAATTATTTCTTAAAACAATTAACATAGCGCTATACCAACTTAATTACCTCTGAAGCTTTCCAAATGGTGTAGCATAGCCGGCCGCTTAAGAGATTAGACCAACTACTTTAGTGCTGTCATAAAATTTTAAATATTCTTAGTAACTTTGTAACGACTTAATAAAAGTACTACAGCTTACGTACTTTTTAAGGCCTAAAACAATGCAAGTAATAAAAACAAACTTATATCATAATTCAAACGGACCATTCCTCTCCTGAATAACAATGCGATGAAATTTATTACTCAATGAGCTGTGGATTTATATTACGAAGAATCCCAGGAGAGAACTTTCAAAACTCTCTGAAATGATTTGCGGACTCAGCTTAATGTTGGGGCAAAGGGAATTTCCGTTCAAGTAATAGAATCTATACTACTTTCTTTTAATAATATTGTTTGAAAAATAATACACTAAGTCGAAAGATATTTTAAGAACGAATTACGGAGCCACAGACTGAATATAGAAAAAAATGCAAATTTACCTAACATATTTTAATTTAACTGTGTTCAGATATACTTATAACTACTTAGAGATAACAAATAATAAACATCTAAATAATAGAACTATATCTCATTCTTTCTCAATTTTTTAAAGACCTATAAACTTTTGAGGAGAGTGCATTCTGCAGCTCTTTTGAGTATAGTGTAAATGATATGTTTTCATTTATTTTTTTCTGCACGTCAACATTGGGTCTAAGAATAATCTTAAACTTTCTTCATCATAAACAGTTGGTGAATCATCATTATAATTTAAAGCCTCGCAGACCCTGCAGTAGTGATACGATTTCGTGCCGAAGTATCCATGTTCGTTCACAACTTCGAAATCATTTCTCCACCGGTGATACCTGAATATTGTTTCATTGTTTTGACTAATATGTATTAGTTCACTTGCTAGTTTTTCTGGAGTGTCAAAATTGTCCGTGTGTATGTACGACATGGGCGGTAAGAGTTGTTCACAGTCCTCAATTGATGGTCCCAATATGACAGGAATAGCACCTTTGGAATAGGCATTTTGAAATATTTTTTCAGTCAGGTATTGAGAGCAAAATGAATTTTCAAAGGAGAAATAAAAAATATATTCAGATAACATATCACAATCCGATTTGAAGTGACCCGGACAACTGAAAAAAGTAAGAATATTTTGTTTGTCTCCTAACATACATACATGTATCCCTAGTTTTTTATTAATTATGGGAAGATGTGATAACAAACACAAAGCTGGACTGAAGCTTTTATACGGACGATGTTCCCAGTTCGATTATATCTATTATTTTATGAAGGAATTAATTAGAATTGTAATTAATTGCAATGAATGGCAAGACGTTAAAACACGTGTAAGAACATAGTAAGTGTTAATCATTCCTTATGCACAGGCATCAAGTTATTATTTGGCGGCTGAAATAGGTACTCACGTAGACAACTTTGTACAAAATGCACGTCGGTGAAACTACTTCATAAATAATAATATAGAAAATTCTTAATTCAAATAAACTTACATTACAGTATTTTGAATAGCCATTACTTATTTTTTAATCTACCGTTCATTCTGAAAGATGTCTCATCAAAAGAAGAATGAGCAAGTAACTTGCGTGTTGATCTTTAAACAATTATTTACTTTACATTATTAACTTGAAATGTGCGAATAGAAGACCCTACAACCAAAAATTAACTTAATCTTAATAATAGTACCTACTATGGGCCAATAAGACGAAGCTATTTAAAAGAGGAAATATTACAAAAAAATTCAAAAAATGCTGCAAAGCGTTAAGAAAATTAATACTAACGTTTTTTTGTTTAAAGTTGAACACTTGCCAATAATGTCAATGTCTATAAAATTCTGTAACTTCTTCAAATATTCCATCCTCCAAGACACGCAATTGGAAATAAGAACAACTGCATGTATATCTCGACGTTTTTTATTCCAATTAGGAATTAATTCTGCTAAAGTATCGGATGTCAAGTTATCGGCCAGCGGTTCCTTCAAAGATATAGTACGTCCATATGGTACAGGAATATCAGCATCACTTCTGTAAATGTTTAGAAATAATACATGTTTGAGCTTTCGTTGTAGTGATATATCTTATATATATATATAATTCTCATTCTAATCATTCTAATTCTGTGTCACAATGTTAGTACCATACGCCTCCCAAACGGCTTGATCGATTTTTATGAAATTTTATATTCATATTCAGTAGGTCTGAGAATTGGCTTCTATCTATTTTTCATACCCTTAAGTGATAAAGGGTCACCCCTAACATTATTTTTTATTTTTTGGGCAAAAGTTTTTATTTATATGTTTTTATTATGAGTCATTAAAATTACATATAAACCTAAATTTTCACCCTTCTATCACCAACCCCTATTTTTTATAGCGTTATTAATTTATATGACAAAACAACGTTTGCCGTGCATCAGAAATACATAAAACTAACTAGTTATATCTACGTTTATGTATTTCTGATGCAAATACTGTTTATCTCCTCTGTGTGTAGGCTAACATTATACAAATCGATAATGATAAAATAACCCTAATAAGTGTGTAACTATTTCAATAAGATGATAACACCTAGAATGGATAGAATGGGAAGGGGATTAATATTAATGAGGAATAGTTGCCCTTTTATAGCCATGTTTGTACCCCCTGGAAACCATAGTGATTCATTCGTATTGGATTCCTTAGGATAGGCTAACTGATCTGACTTTATGCTTATCCTATCATGCTATACTAACACTGTCACTGTATACTAAATACCTAGATACCTTCTAGATTCTAATGCTTTATATAATATGGATGAGTCAAGTTTTATATTGCCCATTAAACAAAATGTACATATTTACTCCTATTACAACTCTAATTTTAATCCCTTCTACCATCAAGCCCTATTTTTTAATAGCAATATTATTTTATATGGCAGTACAATATTTGCTCGGTCAGCTAATTTATATATTTAACTCGCCTGTAAGTCATGGACCAATTAAAAATATTTGCCAAATCTGATAACTTTGGTTTAACTTTTGCCATGGTAAATGAGTGCAATGGAGATTCATCATTTAGAAATATCCATCTCTGGTTAGTGTTTCTATTTTTACCATCCGGTATTAAGCCATGTTGCATATGAATTACAACTGCATCAGCCGTACCTAATTGATTGTTTTCTCCTGTAAATTTACAATTCTTCACACTGCAATACTCAAGGGGATCGTTTCTGTAAAAATAAATTATCGATTTATTTAATAGAATATATTATATAAACTATAAACTTTCCCATAGAAGTGATAAGTACCTTCTACAATCTCAGAATATAAGTAATTAGCAGGTATAGTGCACTTATCTTCTTAAGAATAATAACGTAATCTTTATTATAACTAGTAATTAGTAGAGTCTAACAAGCCTAGGCAGAATATTTTAATTTGAACATTGCAAAATCGCGCGACACAAACGTTCGGTAGCATTATTATATTACTGTAATAATAAAGAGATTTACGTAAGAAGTGTGATGTATAATATTATATTATTGTAAGTATAATTTGTCGGATCATTATCCACAGAAATCTATTGCATCTGCTCGTATGTGTAAAATAAAACGATGCAAAATGGTAAATTATATATGTATATAGTATATTTTTATAATAACACAATATAACAAACAAAATGACATAAATGTTTTTATAGTAAAAAAGTCGCTTTTTAAGTAGCCGATGAGATACCATGGAGTCCACTACATACATAAGCACACATCTGTCTGTAATATACCGCAACAAGTGTATATGTTTAAAAACCAACCTTTTCGAATTATAGTTTTGAATATGTCGACTCTTCAACCAGTTCCAATACTTCCATATCAATACGACAAATGTTTTATTTTCTCTAGGTACTCCGTATTTTTTGTCCTTGAATAAAATTAATCCCAATTTAGAAGTCGTCCAATTCTGAAATAACTCTTCTAATTGTTTATTGAAATTTAATTAGTTTTTACAAATGAAAATTCAATAGAGTTTCAGCTTACACTATCTAATAGATGCCATATCATTGGAAGATGTTAAGATGTGCATACAGTCAGTTCCGTTAGTCCATCATGGCGAATTCACAAGGAAATAACTCGAATGGTTTCCAGTAGTGACCACATAGATCAACTAAGTAGGGTAATTTGTTAGAAATTGGACCATTAGTCCCTAGTTGACAGTTTGATATATCTACTTGTGTTGTGATGATTCAATAATTAAAACATAAATAGAAATAGTAGAAGGATATTATATTGTGTTCTTCTAACAGCAGCACCATACAATGTATGTATTGTGTGAATATTTGCGATTTTTATAAAATTTGTGCATAACAATTAATTTATATGTAATATTACAATATGTGCAAATATACAATATGGACCTTGACCCAGGAACAGGTCAATGTGACCAATTTCCTCCCAGTTTAAAACTTCTTTATTAGTTAATTAAGTTGTATTATGGAGCCTCAACGTCAGCTGTATGTACCATGTCAGGTCGACCTCCACGCGGTTCCCCCTGGAAACCATCGCGTTAAATTCCTGGTGAATTTGTCACGATGGGCTAACTGACCTCACCTCATGCTCATCTTATCATCCTCCACTGGTGCCTCGCCAGCGTAAAAGTGTTAGCGCAGGCGGGTGCACCATTCCATTATCATCCAAAAAAAAAAAACGTCAGCTGTAGTTCCGAGGGTGGTTAAGGATTAGGACATTCACAATCTTTTGAAATTGTTACATATTTTATAAGGACATATACATAGTTTAATAAGGACAACAATCTTAACCGCTTTAAAAGTATTCGGCAAAAAAGAAAAGATTGAAATTAGACTTTGCCTCGAGCACTAATACAAGGCCTATTGACATGTTTGTTATTTTCCATTGCCGAATCGTAACCATGCAAGGGTCTTTTCGCGAGGCGTAAATCAATTCTTGTGTATAAACATAGAGGTGCCTGTATTTTGTCTATAAAGTTCTGTTAATGTGAAAAAATGTATTTAAATAGGTATGTTAACGTCTTGTCTTGTTTCTCTGATATATTTTTTTATGAAATCTACTTGATATCACTCCGATTATTTCTCACTTCAACATATTCTTCACAAGTATTCATGGACTTTAAGAGCTTCATCAATTCATTTCACATTTTTAGATTCTTACTAACTGAAATATTAATTATTTCAGTAGGTACAAGATTTTCACCTAATATAATATTTAATAGATGAATGCATGAAATGCATGCAATGAAAAATTAATTAAAAACAAATTACATATTTCAATTAAAATAATCGGTTTTGTTAGAATAATCAGTAGACTACACTATGAACCTAAATTGTGAAATTTAATGCAAAATAACGCCTAAAATAACGTTAATCACAATTATGATATTTTAACACATAACTCTTCTTACACTGTCCTTAGATACAAATCACCACATTACCTTGACGAATTGAAAAAAAGTATCATTCAAAAGTCAGGTACTATGGCCTGTGTAATGTAATGTATGTGTAATGTAACCTATGAAATAAAAATACTTGGTCCATTTTCTGTGAATTGTTTGACTACTTCAGAAGTGCAAAGAAGATCAACTGTTATATACCTACTAGTATGTTAAATAGTTCAGTAATAAATTGTTATTCTGGTATCTAATATGTTCGGTAAAGTTTCACAGAGTACAATCGAAATTAAGAAATCTAATGGGTAAATAAGAAAAGAAGAAATAACAGCATTGAAAATCCATTAAAAACTGTAAGCCATGCACTTGTAAACGATCCAGTTCAGTAGCTCGCTTTTTTTTAATATAAAAGGATTTATTAAGATATGAAATAGGATAGCTTATAACATTTATGGTATAGTCACTCACCTCTCGTTTTTTGTAATAATTGTTCACTGTCATATTGTGCTCATAAATAGATCGGCTACTTAAAAAATAATTTTGTTGTATTCCATTGTGAAGATTATTGTTAATACGTTTACTGGTGTACACCAAATACTCACTTGCAATTAAAACCAAAGTTACAAATATTAATAATAATAAAACCTTTTGAACATATGTTCTTCCAATAAACTGACTGTAAATCATGTCACTTTTTAAATGTTTGTTATAACTTATATATGAACCTTGTAGCGGTACTTGTGTGTATAATACATAAACTATACAAAGGTATATTCTACATAGCACTCACTGATCATCTAATATCATATCGTTTATCATAGTTCATTTTATGTTATCATAACGATCCGTACCTAAATTTTATGCCAATATAGCTTAGTACACCTGTAACGTTTTTTATCGTGAACTGAACAGGTAGATTAAATTCAAAACTATACGTGTATTACAATTACTGCTATGGTAATGACGATTATAATACATAGGTGTACGAGATAATATCTTCATTGTTTTCAGAATGTAAACCTGCTATGGCAATTTCGATCAAACAATGCTGTAAATATATAATGTCACATATAGTTTTTTGTTCAAAATTGTTTAGAAACTGGAACGATATGAGTTTACTTATGTATTAGATACAGTAAGAGAAACGTGTACATTAGTCGTGAAACGTATATCAACTGAACAACTTTCTCAAAGAAGTCGAAAGTAAAAAAAAATAAAACCATCATACAAACTGTGTGCTCCAGAAAATAATTTTGTATAAAATTTTCAATGTGAATTTTCAGTTTTCTAATTTACTTCGTAGAGGAAGTGGCCCAATCCTGTTTTGGTTGGTTTCAAATAAGCCTACATACGTACTATTGAAAATACATATCTACACTAATAAAAAGCAAGTTGTGTTATCTAATGTCAACTAATTTATCTACAATACCTTCCTATAATTTTAGCAGACCTTAACCTATTTTTGCTATAAAAATCAAATCCAAAGTAAATTGCCCTCGATAGGCTATTTGTTTTGATTTTATATATATATATATATTTTCACCTTTAACTTGGAAGGTACCCATTTTATCACTGCCCATGAAATAAAATGGGCTCGAATTAGTTTACTTTTGGAATGTATTAAGTTCATTAAAGGAAATTATTGAAACCACTGATAGAATTATATGTCTACCTCCATTTAGTATGAACTACGTAGGTACATATAAATATATAAATAACTTATTATTACGTAGTGAATTCACCAGGAGTTGACAAAGATGGTTTTCAACTCAATATTACCGACTAGATAGTGAACACTAGTCCCTGTTCATGGGGTTACTAGTTCACATTATTCTCATTACACCCATTAGGTGTAATGAGAATAATGTGATTTACAGGAATAGAGTACCTACAATTATCTATATTAAAGTAACGAACAAACGATACTTTTCTATGATTGTTAGCTTCAGTACATAAAGAAATAACTTGAAATAAATAAGGTGGAACCACCTTATCACATCATACCTAACTCTACAGTGGTGAGGTTATAACCACCGCGATACACTATCATTACAATGAATAATTTCGCGGTTGACATGTATTTCGTTATTAAATACTTTACAAACCTATACCAAATATTTTTGTAAATGCCGGGACTAAAGAGGAAATCCCTTGTTTAGGACATTCGATAGAGAAACGAAATCGAGCATTTCTTACAATTTAGATACATATTTTCTCACTGTAAATGTGTTGTTGAAAACTATTTTTATACCTTTTTTATTATGTATATTTTTTATAATATTATATTGTTTTTATATGGCATAGGTCAATTAAATATACAAAAAATATTCTACAACTACAACGGTGCCGTTTTACTTTTTGCTCGTTATCTTGATCTCCATCCTTCACATTTTGGTCTTCAAGCCGACCTTCACATTTGGTCTTCGAGCCAACCTTCACAATTTGGTCTTCGAGCCAACCTTCACAATTTGGTCTTCGAGCCAACCTTCACAATTTGGTCTTCGAGCCAACCTTCACAATTTGGTCTTCGAGCCAACCTTCACAATTTGGTCTTCGAGCCAACCTTCACAATTTGGTCTTCGAGCCAACCTTCACAATTTGGTCTTCGAGCCGACCTTCACAGTTTGGTCCTCTATCTCCGAAGTATTTACGAGGACAATCATGCAAACGGGATTGAAGACACAAAAATATACGCAAGCGAGGGATACTAGCGAAGTATGTTCGGAGTCTGATATGCTCGTCGCGGGTGGGTTCGGTCGGTCAGAAACGATGGACTTGTGCGAGTAGCTGATGTGGCCTCCAAAGGGAAACCCGTGCTGGACAAAAAGGCCCTACTCCATGAGGACATAATTGTATAGCAAAATGCTACACGGGTGGGACTATGTTGAAAACTATTTTTATACCTTTTTTATTGTCTATATTTTTTATAATATTATATTGTTTTTATATGACATAAGTCAATTAAATATACAAAAAATATTCTACAACTACAACGGTGCCGTTTTACTTTTTGCTCGTCATCTTGATCTCCATCCTTCACATGTGTAAAGTGTAAAAAATGGTCGGATATCATCGGAATGATTACATTTTAAATATATAGGAATACGAGCTCGTTATTGAATCATAAAAACAATAGCACTCAAATAAGAAGAGTTGATCTGCATATATGTATGCGCTCCGTAAATCCTTTCGCGGGTTTGAAGTGTCATTTCTACTCGCTCCTATGACTCGGTGTAGCTGTCAAGGCCAGCTGCGGCCAAAAATTTAAATTGTTTTAAAAATAAACAGATTATTTCAGATAACTCGAGTTAACTTGTGTCATGTTTAATACGAGTTAGCACATCTCTATATGAATTATCTACCGTCAGTGTAAAAGATTGAACAACTGACAGCAGTAACGTATACTGACATAGCTACTGACACTGACAGCTCAGTTTCGATCAAATATCAATTTCAGTGTTTTAATTACGTTAATTATCATAATAATATTTTCCATTACGTCTTAGGTTTTATTTGTGACTGTGAATTATATAGACAAAATAATTACTGAAACAAATATTATTGAGCATATTTTTTTAAAACAACATATATTTACAAAGGAATATCCGATCTACTATATACACTATTATTTAAAAGTAAGTCTATATTTTATTTATTTATTTAAGTCAACAAACAATAGTACAATGTTTGTTATGAAACTTATTAAATAAAATATTACATCATATCTTGAAAGTAAGCTTAATTATTCTTACTGCTGTCTAAAATATTTAATAATTATCCGAAATTGATGTCTGCTAACATGTTGTTGTACCAAAAAATGATAGCAATTTTGCATCTAGAACTGCTTATAAGTAAATATCAATTAATGGCAACTAATATTTACTTTGGAATTTGTTCTAAATACAATGCTTCACTTTAATTTAATCACATTTGCCGTCTTACATTTGGCCATGTTTCTTATCAAATACCTGTCTAATTAAATATATTATTCACGACAAATTCCTTTGATAATATAGTCTGGATAAGGCTTCTTTAGATCATTTGTTTCTTAGTCTTTCGTAACTCTGTTTTTTTAGTATTTAGTATGTCTTATGTACATTACTTATTAGAAATCCTGTCAGTACTGATGATAATATTTAGGCAAGTTACTAAGGAGAGCTGAAATATAATAATAAAATAAGGTCTACTGAGTGACCTTATTTTATCATCATGCCCAATTTTCCAGGGATTAATATCTGTAACATCTTTCTTGCAATGGCCAATAATTCTTACAGCTAGCAACCATCTTGGGGGAGAGGATAGTTTGTAATAAGACTAGTGGCTATGTTTCTAGAAATATATGATTTGTTGGATTCTATTTTCTGCATTTAGCTTCTCATTTGGGCAATTGTGCATGTTACTAAATGTATTAGATTGATCTCCACATGTCCACTTTGGAAACCATTGTGATCAATTACTGCTGAATTTGCTGCAACCAGCTGACCATCCTGACTTCATTAGTGCACCATCCTATAATCATCTATTAAAAACCCTCAACCCCAGAATTATCACATGTGATAATAAGGAGAAATTTGGTTACTTACATATTAATTTATAATGTTTTATTATAACATGATAGGTCTATAAGAAAAAATAAAACTTTGAATTAAGATAAAAACCATTGTCTATAAGCATAAATGTAATAACAATGCTTTAGAAATAACACACTACATTATTAGCAGTGAATACCTTGTTATCAGTAATAGTCTAATTAATTATACCTACATGTATCTGAAGTGACAGTTTTATTAAGTCATCATATATAAATAGATCCTTGTTTATAATTTGATTATGAATCTTGACTCATCCACAGTTTGGCGTACTGGTGAACAGAGATAGCATGAAAGTCAAGTTCTGTGCAATAACTGTCCCAAGTTACTGATTGTAAACTTAGTTATTATGCTACCAAATTGTTTGCATTCTTGCACAGTGCATAGTATTAGATGTGGGCTTAAATTATTAGAATGATGGTACTTTATGTTCCAAATTCCATTAATTTATCTATACAAAAATATCTTTAATAAACATTCTGATTTGTATAAATTGGCCTTTAAAATCAGCTTTCATCAAATAATGATCTGGCAGACACTATAAGGGATCAATAAAATGCCTTAGTAACCTATAATAATAATAAAAACCTATTTACATCTTCAGTAGTACTGATGATGTTTTTGTAAGATATGTTTTTTAATGTTACATTAAAAAAATATTTCTTACAATTTAATGCTGATAATTTATTATAAGATTACAAAGATTTCAATTTCAAATGTGTAAATGCAAAACTGTTCAACATTTTAAATAGACATATATAAAATAAAGTAATGTATACTCATAGGAAGAATATTGTAAAATTAATAATGAATTTTTATAATAATTTTCAGATAATGAATCAAAGTAATTCAGAGATACAACAGAGTGGCTTACTTTTAACTCCACAAATGGCCTTTGCCCCAGATGTCAATATGTGTGAGGAAATTGTAGATGCTATACCCCGCATGTCTCCAGTACAAATTCAACAAGAGTACTATGAAAATCTGCCTGATTGTGATTGGGTCCAGTGAGTGTTTTCCATATTTTCTTTTATATGATCAATGTATGTATATATCTTTGTATACAATAAATTCTTATCTAGTGATGCTGCAAAAACT